ATGGATGTTAATATGCTCGCTATATCAATACCCAGGATCCAAGGGCGCCGGAACCACGGGGGCAGCTACCCTATGCTGGGGGGGGGGGGATGGACGCGGGGCCAGCCGTGTGCCTTTTACCTATACATTTTATACAGAGCTGATACCTTTAAAAAATAAGCTATATAACATTTTCACTTGAGACATGGAGCCGGCGCAATGGCTGCCAAGGCATTTTATTGCTCTGTGTAGGATTTTATTGATGAAATACTCTAGCGACTTTTTACTAAATTTTAAACGTTATAACCGTTTGGAAAATTAAGTATGGCAAATAATTTGTCTTCTTGGAATGCGAAAGAGGTACAGGAGGAGTATGGTCATTCAGTACTTTGACTGTTCGTCGAGTGATTGTAAAACGCATCACCCATTAAATTGCATAAAGCTGAAAGTATTAGATCCTGTTAGCAATCTTAACAATCCAACATACTTTTACTGAATGCTCGATCTATCGCTGGAACAATGGACGAACTTGTTTGTATTAGCAATGAAGCCGATCATCAAATTATATGCATCACCGAAACTTGACTAAGATGAATCTGTCCCTAACGAATTCGTAAGTTTACCTATAATTATGATATTATTAGAGCCGACCGAAGCGGTAGAAAAGGAAGAGGGTTAGCTATATATCTACATGAAACGTTGCCGTACTGAACTCGTGATGACTTAACAACTGAGGATATATACAGTGTGTATGGATAGTTTGTCAACCAAAGAGACTTCCGAGGTCAATTTCACGCCTGCATCTCAGTTGTTATTGCATGCATTTATTTGCCACCGAATCTATTACATGATAATATCTCCTAGTGGGGCACATTTCTCCTATCCCTGACTTGATTAGATCTTCTTTTTCCATTGTAAGTGGGAATGAATCGGTCATGTTCGTTCTTGCAACACCAGGGTCGAAACTACAGAAGGAATGTCAAAGAGTGATTTGGGAGTCAGGGTTGAGAGTAAGGTAGTTGAGAGGACGGGACGACAATAAAGAGTATGGTGCAGAGATCGAATCCTTTTAAACATGCAGAACGGGAGGGAAAGGCTCGTGTTGTAGAGCTGGAGTGACCTACGAAATACATGTAAAATGCAATGAATGTGGTGATATTTATATGTTGGTGAAACATCGAGAAGTGCATACACATGCATGTGAAACTGGCTAAAAGGAAAAAGAAACAGTCTGCATTATGGAAGCATTGTCGGAGCGATTGCAGAATACCCGTCCACTTTTGATAGGTTGTTAAACCGAATAAATGAATTAAAAGATTATTTCAAAACAGTTCACAATTAAAATTTAAAGATAAAACTACAAGAATATGTTGCTTGTAGTTAAATTCAATGCCGGAGTCTTTAAAGAACGAAGCATTTAAAATTGACATTCTTTTCTGATTTCGCCATGTTTACAAGGAATTAATAGGTGTAATATGTCAAAGTGGACGGGTATTCTGCAATCTAACCGCATTGTCAAGAGAAACATCAAGGCGAAGTTCAGGGCTTTCAGATGCAGGTCACTGGAATGATTTGGAAACGATGCTATGTTAAGGCAGATATCAGAAGGCGTGAAAATAAACAGGGTACCAAAAGAGAAACTAATCAACACGAGAACTGAATGGAATTAGTTCATATTCCACGAGCTGTGATATCATAGAGAAAGAAAAATTACCGCGATTTCTGAGAACATTACATAGATTTTATATGAAGTATAACAATACGGTTTTGATATTACGTTGTACAAAAGTATAGACGTCATCAAAATGGCTAATTACTGACGAGGCTGTGACAACAGCGAAATTAATATAGAACGCCAATTTTTTTATTTCTAAATAGTAGGATTTTAATGTTTTAACTAAGGTTGTAGATTTTTAGTAAGTAAGACTGTGTTGAAAGAGAAACATAGACGTTATATGTAAACAACGAGTTTGAGTGTTTCATCAGGGGATCCAAACACGAGAAAACTGTATGAAACACGAGCGCGAAGCGCGAGTGTTTTATTGTTTTCGAGTGTTTGGTCCCCTGATGAAACACGAGAAACGAGTTGTTTACACAACATCTCAAACGAAAACATTTCGTTGGCTTATATATATTATTATAGTATATTGTTGTGTTTTGACTTGAATTTGTAATTAGGATCTCAGTTATTCGATGAAAACCGTTTTTCATCTAACAACAGTGATGGTATATGATTTTTAGCGTGTTTCCTTGCGGTATCCAACCTCAATCATGTGACGAATTAGGGTGAGTTCATTTGCTAATTTGCTCATGAATTATTAATGAGTTTGAGATACTGATGTCGTCCAAAATCAACTTTCTAAAATTTCACTAAGTTATATCGATCCCCAGCACAATATGGTGGTCTCCCGAGCTCATCTACAATCCTAGCTCTATTAAACTTACTACACTACTGGTATCAATCTCTGGAGAAACCGAGGACGGTAATTAAGGTACTATTTTTGGATTAAAATCCAAAATTAGCAAAGCATTTGACTTGATTAATCACAATAAATTGCTTGACGACCACTGAGGTTGAGGACATGAAAACGTTAGGTGTAAGACATGCCCTCATACCATGGATTAGTGGTTCATATTTAAAGGGAAGAAAGCCGAGAACTAAATTAGGAAATGTGACATCAAATTTAGAATCCGTGATGTTAATGGAGGCATACCCCAAGGCAGTAAAATTGGCCCACTCGCATTCGTTATTAAAATAAATAACTTAGAACGAGCATGTTTGGAAAACGACAGTAATATGGTAGTCGTCTATATGGACGACACCACCTTATCAGAAATCTTGAACGTGTCACATATTTCAGGCGACCAGATTGGCAACGTGCAGGAACAGTTAAACTCAGTGACTGAATGGTCGAAAGACCAAGACATGATTTTAAACAATAAAAGTGCAAAGTAATCAGTGATTATAGACTTTAGAAAAACGAAAACAGAAATTCCAGAATTACAGGCGGAACAGTCTTCAATAAATCGTATCAGCTCATACAAATTACTGGGTGTGTGGATCGATAATAATCTGAAATGGGAGACTAACACTTGGACATAGATTAAAAAGGGCCGAAAAAGACTGTACTTTTTAAAACGTTTAAAGAATTACGGAGTCCTCACAAAGGACCTGTTGGCGTTTTAAAATTCAGTTTTAGAATATGGTGATGTGTTATGGTCTGGGGGTCTAACAGCTAAACAACGATGCAATATCGAAAGGATATGATTCAAAAACGAGCATTCCGTATAATATATCCAGAACAATCCAGCTAGGACAAGATTACGAACATTGCATGCGAACAAGTTGACAACGTTGGAAGATTGAAGAAAGACCACTCTTTCAAGTAAATATCTCATATGCATGGCCAAAGAAGATCATAAGCTTACTTCATTTTCTTTCTCCAAAAAGATCTGAGGTAACGGAAAGAAACACTAGAGCGAATAAAAACTGTTTTTATCATGAAATGCAGTCCTTCGGCTTCAAACGTCCAAAATTTTCTGAGGGAGTCCCCCATTTCTTTAACAACTTAGTATTACTATAGTTATCAATTAGAAAAAGGTCTATTACAATTATTGCCATTCAGGTGATTTTTTAACATCGAGGTACAAATTTTAGACACCAATTTTCCTCTGACACCCCCTCCCCCAACTCCAGATGCTTCGCTACGTCCCTGAAAGTGCTATTTTTAGAGATTCTGCCCCCGCTGCTTTGGGTTCCTTTCGGCACCCCTGCCTGGATCCAGAGGTTTATTTTCATTATTATATCAGATAATGGCAAAGGGAAGATAAACCTCCGGTTGAAAGCGGCAATTGATTGATATTGCGCAGTGCACTGCGCCAATCGGTTTAAACTAGGGTAGATTCTACTCTGTGACTCTAATTGGACAGATTGGATGATTACACAAAAAGTTATCTGTTGGTTCAGTTCAAAACTTGTCACGTGTCAAGTGTGTTTTGATTAGTTGGATGCCGTTGCATGCATGCACGTAGTGAGGGTATTGCCGCTTTCAACCAGAGTTTTATTTTCTTGTTGCCATTAGTGATTATATATGCATGCAATGAAAATAAACCGCTGGAACCAGTGTCCGAGATGAAATAGATTGTAGTATAAAACAATGTATTCTAGTTGTATAATTCAGACTTGTGAGCTCTCATGATGCCGCACCTCCGATGCCGCACTTTTTTCTCCCGGTAGGAAGGTATTTTCTCCCGGGATATTTTGCAGAGTGACTCCGTATAAACTACAAGTGTTTGGCTTTTTTATCCACTTTTGTACTATAAGAGATCAGTATAGATTATCATAAGGATATACGAGACGCACCAGGATCTCGAAATCATGCATTCTCGCTATGCCTATAGATGTTAGTCCATATGACTTTATTTTTGCTCTTCCGCTTTTTGATAACATTTCACATTTTTAAAGGCTAAAAAGGGAATCTCCCTGTTTTAAATTTTTAAGGTTGTCAATGCATTTCAATAATCAAGCAACATCATTTGTCTGTGAAGAAAAGCACTGCTTTAAAAACAACATATTTGATACTTGTTTGCAAAACAAGCAACGAATTCTCAATACTGTTTCTGTTAGATTCTCACATTATTATTGATTCCATGGCCAGCGACTCAATCACGCTCCGTGGGGCGCCTTGTTATTTTCATTCACTGATTACATTCTGTTCTCTTGCATTTCAATAGGTTTATAACAACTATTGTTGTCGTCACTTAAGAAGCATCCAATATTAATATTGATTATTATAATCGTAAGTATAGCGTTAAATTTTGTTTGTATTCTGCACAAGTTTAACATTCCACGTAGACAACCGATTCACTGGGCATTCCGTGGGCTACACATCACCGTCAGCGATTATGTACAAACGTGTCAAATTTCAATCACGCAAGTTGACTCTCACGATAGTCTAATACAAACAATATGATGAACAAATGATTGTGCCAGGACAAATTCGTCTCGCTCAAGCCGGACTATGTTTAACCAAAGAGTTTTAGTATTTTTAATCGTCGTAACTGCAGTGATATGTCTTGCTTATCGTGTACACCTATTTTATTATTCACCGAGACCTGTTGGACCGACTACATCATACGAAGTTCTAGTACTTCCCGACAAACAACGAATATTATATGAAAACAAGACTACACGTTTGTTGCGAGATCTTCTGCAAAGTTCGTATTTAAAAATACAGCCGTTCAAAATAAATGGCGACGATATCATGGTATTTTTGCATATACAGAAAACTGGAGGCACATATTTCGGTAAAAATTTAGTCACAAATCTACATTTGGAGAGAAAATGCGATAAAGTTGTGTCAATGAGGTCACGGTTCATGTGTAAACGACCTAACTCAGACGAATTTTGGTTATATGCTCGATATTCTACTGGCTGGGTATGTGGACTTCATGCTGACTGGACTACGTGGAATAGTTGTCTTCCAAAACTATTAAAATCTCGACTAAGTAAGAAGCATTTTAATGAAACCAAGTTATTATATATTACTATTTTGCGTGACCCGGTTGACAGGTTTTTGAGTGAATTCAAACACGTCCAACGGGGTGCAACATGGCTCTCATCCAAATTTGTATGCAACAATAAGAAATACAAACTGCCTATTTGCTACAAGGGCGCCAACTGGAGTAATGTGTCATTGTCTGGATTTCTCAACTGTCCCTATAATTTGGCATTCAATCGACAAACCCGTATGTTGGCCAATTTAACTGAGGTCGAATGCTACATTTACGATAATAAGATTGAGGAATTTAACTATAGTCAACAATATGGCAAGCTCATGTTGGAAAGTGCTAAGCGAAATCTCCGCTCAATGGCGTATTTTGGACTCGTGGAATATCAAAGAGAAAGTCAATACTTGTTCGAGAAGACATTTGGGTTGAAATTTAAGAAAAAATTAACTCAAGTACCAGGCAACGAAACTATAAGTGGTGAGACTTCGTCTACATTGACCACAAGGCTTCTGTTGCGAATACGTAAAGCCACCAGGCTGGATCGTCAATTGTACAATTATGCAAAAGCATTATTTTTTAGAAGGTTAAAATATTTTGAAAAAGTGGACGAAATGGGTAAGTTTTAAAGAAATTGCCGATATAGTTCTATCACTGATCTCAAAATTAGGTCTGGTAGAGCAACCTTTTCAATTCAGGGATTTAATTTTGAAGCCAGAATATTGTATTTAATAATTAATGAGGATTTCATATTCCTTACGAATCAAATCGTTATACATGTTTAAATTAGTTTACTATCAAGCAAATATCTTGCCGTAAACTTGAAAGATATAACTTCCCACATCTCTTCTAATGAGTTTTATAGATGAAGATCGTTTTAAACACGGGTTTATGAGACTAACGGCGGCCATATCGGTGTGACTCATCAATTATTCACTGGAAAATTTCAGACGGAAGAGAGGCTACTGATAACCAATTTCTCTCTAGGCAATATTTTTTATTCCTACCAAACACCAGAAACGTTATGAATCTCTTCTAACATGTCAGCAACACTTCTCTAGATTTGCGGTGGTTACACCAATGTGGCCGCCATTGGCTTCGCATCCATTGACATCGCCGTCATTGGCTTCGCTTATGCATATCAGATGCTCTATCCAGTCCTAGTTTTGAGATCAGCGAGTTCTATAATATGTGCCATTAATATAATTACATAGGTGATTATTGAAAATTCCCCACACTGATTGGTTGCCGTTGAGGTGATTATAACGCATAATCACCTAAGCGATTTTCACCTAAGCGATAATCACCTAAAAGACAAAGAAATGTGTATTTTTTATTTTTTCCCAAATAATCACCTATGAAATTATACTAAAACAATTATTCACCTCAGGCTCGGTGATTATCGTGAATAAAAACCTCGACTTCGTCTCGTTTTTTTGTCTTGGTTTTTATTCACCGATAATCACCTCGCCTTCGGCGAATAATTGTTAATTATTATATAAAGTATAGTGCTTTATAGAGATTTCGAGCACTGATAAAACTGATAATGTCATAATCTCACATGTAAGATTATTTATGATAATCTCACATGTGAAAATTATCGCTTTTCAATTATCGCTTTTCTGTAAAAATTATCGCTTTTCAAAGAATGTCTTTTAAAAATACATGGGTGCTTGGAAATACCAGATTTATTTCTCGTGTTGAACATGATATCTCACTCGTTCGCTGCGCTCACTCGTGAGATATGTTCAACACGAGAATTAAATCTGGTATTTCCAAGCACCCATGTATTATTCTCTATTTATTTTATTACCAGAAAGCTTCGGATTGAGAGAGATTACAAACGGATATAGATTCATGTCTCGCTGTTCATGAGTTAGGATCAGCAGTTCGGGTTATGCACTAGTCAATCGAAAGCCCGGCCCCCCGACCCCCGGGACTAAGCGGGGATTTTAACATTTCACGGTTGTTAAAATACCGGCTAAAAAATCTTGTTCAGTTGTTAAAATCCCCGGGTTACTGTGCCTAAACTTTTGGGGTTTTTTTTTTCAAATTTCCAAATTTCCATTTTCAAATTTTTTTTTTTCAAGTTTGATAAAAAACCTAACATTAATATTTCCATTAAAACTCCGCCAAAGTTATAGAGAATAATACATGGGTGCGCGGAAAAACCAGATTTATTTCGAGTGTTGAACATGATATCTCACGAGTGAGGGCAGCGAACGAGTGAGATATCATGTTCAACACGATATCGTATTTTTACGTGTGTTTAAATACGATTTTTCTCAGTGGCCAAAAACTGTATATAACACTTATGACTATGTTTATATAATAAAATACTTTACCTAGTTCGTTCTTTAAAAATTTCGTATGCATATTATACAATTAATACAGGAGAATGGTTCAAATGAAGCCAATGGTTGTCAGATGCTTTGCTCCTTTGTAAAATAATACCGTTTTTAATTATTAAAGTACGCATAAGCCAGGTCATATATACCGGTATGTTAATAGGGTAAAATATAAATTCAAGGTATAAACCAGGTAATACATCACTCAAATCATGCAAACAACAAGAGTAGCGCTTAATATCTTAATATAATAATTTCCCAAATAAATATATACAAAGTACAAACAAATCTAAGACTGTGCACACGATCACTTTCCCGAGCGCTTTTCAATTGCGTTAAAAATGGCGTTAAATCCCCGGTTATGATGCCCGGCTATTTAAGTCAGTGTTAAAACCCCGGGTAGCAAACAAGCGACGTTTGTTAAAAGCCTGTATTCCCCCCGCAAAGTCCCGTTAAAACCCGGGGGGGGGCGGGGCTGGACTTCGATTGACTAGTGCATTAGAGTCGGGGTAAGGATAGGGCTCAGCATTCAAAAACAGCGAGACATGAATTTATATAACCTTAGGCATATAGGCTTAGCTACAAACTACCTGCATGAAAAATACAAGCATGCTTTCTGGTTATCGTCCGTTCAACATTTTTTATTGTCCAAGTTCTGTACATTATTTTACATTATATAATATAATATAATATAATTTTCAATTATAAACTATATAACTTAGTTAGTTCCCTTTATGCATTAATCATTGTGTTTTGGGGTGGTTTTAGTGTGATATAATCATATAAAAAATATCTTCAGAATGGTCATATTGCAGCAAATCGATGTCGTTCAAAATAGACTTAAATATTGTACTATAATACCTTATTGAATTCTGATCGTTTAATTGGCTGTTTATGGTCACGTGATATTGAATAGAAAATTCCATTTCCCAAGACTGCCAAGAGTGCAATGGAATACGTTCCATTGCACTCTTGCGAGTGCAATTGTACTATTAGACTTGCCACAAGTCGACCTTGAACGAAACGCGAGCAGCGAGCGCGAGGTCGACTTGTCATACTTGCAGGGTTTTCAATTGCATTTCGCGCTAAAAAATGTGAGTAAGTTATTGGCTATCAATTAACAGGTGGCTGATTTGTCTAATCGCATCATTATCTAATCGCATGTGCGTCATATTTCATATTTATCACTTCGCTTTGCGAAGCAGTCGTCTCCAATATAGGAACTAAATTGACCAAACTGCTAACTTGGTCTGACCAAATTGCTAACTTGGTCTTTCATAAGCGAGACCAACGACGACGAGAACCAACGACTTGTTATTTTCGACAAGTACTCGAAAGCGTTTGAACGCTGTGTATATAACCACTGCTATCCACATCTATCACCACGTTTCTACCACCTACAGCATGGTTTCTTAAGGGGTAAATCTACGGTAACTCAACTACTCCACGTCTACCAAGAAATCCTAGATCACTTAGCTGGTGGGAAAGAAGTTGATACAATCCACCTAGACCTGTCCAAGGCCTTTGATCGTGTTCAACATCACATGCTTCTGAACAAGCTTGAGCAATATGGCATATCAGGCTCGCTTCTTCAGTGGTTTCGCAGTTACCTAAGTGACAGATATCAGCGCGTTGCCTTAGATGGGACCCTCTCAGATTGGCTCCCCGTGACCTCTGGAGTCCCACAGGGATCCATCCTAGGACCCCTCCTGTTCCTAGTATACATTAACGACATGCCAGAATACGTAGGACAGGGCTCGAGTATTGCATTATTTGCGGATGACTCTAAACTATATAGGCCCATAAACTCGGCATCTCACCATCTGTTGCAATCGGACCTTTCAGGCCTTCATAATTGGAGTAATGACTGGGGCATGACGTTCAACCCATCCAAGTGCAAAGTGATACACATGTCTCGGAAAAAGGTCTGCTCCTCTGCTTCACTCCAATACCACCTGAACGACAAGCCCCTGGAAAGTGTGACACACATCTATCACCTGGGTGTCATCGTATCCAAAGACCTCTCCTGGGCTAATCATATTGAAGACATATGCACCAAGGCCAATAAAACCCTTGGTCTAATTAAGCGGGTGTGTGCTAGAGACGTTGTGGATGCTAATACGCGGAAGCTTCTCTATTGTGCTGTTGTACGACCTAAGCTTGAGTACGCGTCGTGTGTGTGGTCACCTTACTCGGCTAAACAACGTAAATTAATAGAGAACGTTCAACGCAGAGCAACGAAATTCATTCTGAACTACCCTTCTCGTGATGTTACCTACAGAGACAGACTAATATCCCTAAACTTTCTCCCACTTGAACACAGGCGTGAACTTTATGACCTAATACTATTATACAAAATCAAATACAACCTTATTAATGTCACCTTTAACCAATACCTTACACCTGCAACTAACCCCTATGCCACACGCAACTTCGACCCTAACAACTATAACATAATCGTCTCCAATAATCAAGAATTCTTCCGACAATCCTATTTCCCACGCACTGTCATTCTCTGGAACAATCTACCACCGAACATCAAAGCCGCCCATTCCCTACAGATCTTCAAGCACCATCTACAATCTTATTACAAAGCCAAACTGTTTACCTACATACCACCATAGTTAATCTTGTTCTATAATTCGTTGTACAGTATCCTATATGTTAAGTTCCATGTAATCTGTGATATGTTCGTGCATAATTGTCCTAGTACGTCTCGTTATCCATTAATTGTTAAGGGGTCGATTATCAATTGGAATTTAGTTTCTGTTTTCTTCTCCTGTCGCAGCATTCTCTAGTTATTGTTATTGTTATCTCTACGTAAATGTATATCTTTAATGTGTGTGACAAAATGAATAAATAAATAAATAAAAAGCATGCGGAGCTAACTCAAAGGTTAAGCTTTTGCCTTTTCCCATATCCTGTCTGTGCCGAAACGAACACATCTCTGCCAGATAGATAGGCTTCAATGGTCTGCCGTTGAACTCTAAATAGCCAGAAAACTGCTGTGCCTTTTCAATCGCCTTTGAAACCGAATTCTCCATTTAGAAAATGCAAACACAGAAACCACAGACACAGTGTTGAAAGGCAGAACGCGAAATACTGCGCAATTTCCTTGTTTCCGGAAGTCTGTTTATAAATACGTTAACATGTCCCTTTCACGCTTCTCTGATTGGTTGAAGAGATCATCAACAAATGAATATACACAATAATACAATATATATAGACTAGTTTACCCACAGGGTAGTGAATGCTGCCTTGGTATAGCATTGTTCCCAAAT